ATAGCTTGCTATATTGATGACTTCGTTAGTAAATGGCATATCCATGTTTCTGCAATTTTTTTTATAGTTTTACTTTTTTATTATATTAGCAGGAAACTACTTTGTACGATATGATGAGGACGGGGTCGGGGTACAGAGATGGCTGTTGAAGCATCAGATTAAGGGTAAGTAATATAAATTCATTATAATGTCACCTGTACTTGATCACTGAAATACCACGAGCAGTAAATTATATACAGTGTAGCCCTGTTATAACGTGATGGTTGGGGTCCATTAAATGTTATATATAATGTTATATATATCCATAAGGTTATATATACGTGGCTATATAATTATAAGAGAAAAACAGGGTCCATCGACTCATCGTGTTATATCCGAATTCACGTTCATTAAAATGACCATGATGTAGTTTATATTGCTATCAATGTAGACTTTAGTGGACTTTTTGGCTTTCACATGAAAGCTCATTTAATTCATTAAATATGAATATCTCACGAAACAGTCATCACAAAAATAAGATATTTGGTCATTAAGCGCATTAATGTTTTTGGTTACTGATTCCATTTTTGGCATTCGCATCCACAGGTGTTGGTATTCCAAATACTGTACTGATAGAAACATCAAGAAATGCATTCATTTAGGCTGTGTGTTTTCATTGCAGAACTGGTATCACAGGAAGCAGATTGCTGTGAGGGTAAAGACATGGACACCGATTTAGTATCACAGAAAGCAGAGAGCTGCGATGGTAAAGCGACAGGCAACGATTTAGTATCACAGAAAGCAGAAAGCTGCAATGGTAAAGCGACAGGCAACGATTTAGTAACGCAGGAAGCAGAAAGCTGCGATGGTAAAGCGACAGGCAACGATTTAGTATCACAGGAAGCAGAAAGCTGCGATGGTAAAGCGACAGGCAACGATTTAGTAACGCAGGAAGCAGAAAGCTGCGATGGTAAAGCGATAGGCAACTATTTAGTAACGCAGGAAGCAGAAAGCTGCGATGGTAAAGCGACAGGCAACGATTTAGTATCACAGGAAGCAGAAAGCTGCGATAGTAAAGCGATAGGCAAGATTTAGTATCACAGAAAGCAGAAAGCTGCGATGGTAAAGCGATAGGTAACGATTTAGTATCACAGGAATCAGAAAGCTGCGATAGTAAAGCGATAGGCAAGATTTAGTATCACAGAAAGCAGAAAGCTGCGATGGTAAAGCGATAGGTAACGATTTAGTATACGGCAGGAAGCAGAAAGCTGGCGATGGTAAGCGACAGGCAACGTATTTAGTTCACAGGAAGCAGAAAGCGCGATGGTAAAGCGACAGGCAACGATTTAGTTAACGCAGGAAGCAGAAGACTGCGATGGTAAAGCGATAGGCAACTATTCTAGTAACGCCAAGGACAGGCAGAAAGCTTGCGATTGGTAAAGCCGACAGGGGCGCAACCGAATTTAGTGATCACAGGAAGCAGAAACTGCGATAGTAAAGCGATAGGGCAAGATTTAGATCACAGAAAGCAAAAGCTGCGATTGGTAAACGCGACCAGCAATCGATTTAGTAACCAAGGAAAGCAGAAAGCGCTGGGAGCCACTGGTCGATAGCCAACTGATTTAGTATCCACAGGAACAAGAAATGAGGCTGCATAGTAAAGGCGATAGGCAAAGATTTAGTATTCACAGAGAAGCAGAAGCTGCGATGGTAATAGCGATAGGGTAACGATTTAGTATCAGCAGAACAGAAAAGCTGCGAGCGATAGTAAAGGCGATAGGCAAGATTTATGTAATCACAGAAGCCAGAAAGCTGGCGATAGGTAAAGCGATAGGCAAACGATTTAGTATCACAGGAATCAAGAAAGGCTGCGACTAAGTAAAGGCGCGATAGCAAGACTTTAAGTATCACAGAAAAGCAGAAAGCTTGGCGATGGTGCGATAGCCTATATTAGTAAACGGCAGGAAGCAGAAAGCGCGACTGGTAAAGCGACAGGCAACGAGATTTACGTATCACACAGGAACAGAAAGCATGCGATTCAGTAAAGCGTATAGCCAAGATTTAGTATCACAGAAAGCAGAAAGCTGGCGGAGGTAAAGCGATTGGTTAACGATTTAGTAACGCAGTAAGCCGAAAAGGCTGCGATGGTAAAGCGAACAAGGCAACTATTTCGTGAACGGCAGGAAAGCACGACCAAGTTGGCGATCGTAAGGCGATAGGCAACGATTTTAGTATCACAGAACTCAGAAAAGGCTGGCATGGTAAAGCGATAGGCAACGATTTAGTAAACGCAGGAATCAGAAAGCCTGCCGATGGTAAGCGATAGGCAACCGATTTGGATAATACTAATGCCAGCTGTTCTCGGTCATGATTTAAGAAGTACATACTGCATTCTACCGACTGCCCTTGAATGTCATGGCAGATTGCGCTAACGGTTTCTACTATGGCTTAGCGCTTATGGCAACCGAAAAGGTCACGTTGCTGAATGTGCTGGAGAAGGGGCCATGAGTGAATAAGCTAT